ACAAAGGCTGTGTTTAGATCCAAAGTTTGGATCCAAACTTCAGTCATTTTCCATCACATCAACCTGTCATACACACACAACTTTTCAATCACATCATCTCCAATTTCAACCAAAATCCAAACTTTGCGCTGAACTAAACACAGCCAAAGGATCTCTGAAAGTATTTATTAGGATTCTGATATGCTTCCTAGGGCATTGAATCCATTGGAAGACACTACAGTTAAGTAGTGAAGTAGTAAATGCATGCATGCCTCGGAGATATACATAGGATGTGTTAAGTTCACCTTAAAATTAGAAGTTTGGTTGAAATTAAAATGATGTGACGGAAAAGTTGGAAGTTTGTATGTATATGAAAGTTTGAATGTGATGGAAAAGTTAAAAGTTTGAAGAAAAAGTTTAGAACTAAACTCGGCCGTAGTAATCATGCACCGGTTGTCTTAGGGCTCCTTGGGAAATTTGAAGGAATTGAATCCATTGGAAATAAAATCCTATGAGAACCTTTGGATGGTAGGCTTGCTTTATAGGAATTTCATAGGATTTGCCTCTAAATTTTTAAGGGATTCTAAGAGCAAGGGCAATAGTGCAGCCAACAGTTGGCTCCAAAAACATCTATGTCAGCATTAGAGTTAACTTGATAAGAGCTAGTGCATACAATAGTTAGCTATTGCATCAATAACCCACATGTTTTTATGAATTTTTTTATTATATCTTCTTCTTCCAATGTTCTTCACCATTTTTCTGCCCACTTGTTCTCAAAGCAGAGCAAAACCAAGCGAGTTGCTTGGGAGGCCAGCGGCCTTCCTTCCATGGCCAGGACAAGAATGCTCCAAGTCTCAAAGAAAGGACAAGACCGTCGGCCGTCGCCCGGTGTTGAGCAGGACACCACCGGCGATCTCGGGTGCATCTCCTCCTCCCTCTTGGTTGGCTCTTGATTTCTTTGCTCGTTTCTCTCGTTCTTGTCGTCTTGGACATGTCGATGTCTTTTCGCTCCCGTGCTCCCCGTCCCAGAGATATCAAATCTCAGCGTCGCCGGTGGGGCTCCACAAACCGTGGCAGCCGGCCATCTCCTCGAGCGACGCAGCTCTCATCACCAGCAACGAGCTCTCTGCTAGCTTCTATCGTATCGCCGTCGAACGCTTCGCCTCCAAGCTCCGTTTAGATGCCTTGCCGGTCTCGCATCGCCTCATGTGGACCCCACAATCACGTTGGCCAGTAGCAGCAGGCCTGGTGCCGCTTCTCACGTCTTGGAGAGAGTGTGTCGTCAGTGGCTATTTAGGCTCTGTTTAGATGGGACTAAGGCCCTGTTTACATGGGACTAAAACTTTTAAGTCCCTATCACATTGGATGTTTGAAAATTAATTATAAATATTAAACGTAGACTATTAATAAAACCCATCCATAATCTTGGACTAATTTGCGAGACGAATCTAATAAGCCTAATTAATCCATGATTAGCCTATGTGATGCTACAGTAAACATTCTCTAATTATAGGTTAATTAGGCTTAAAAAATTTGTCTTGTGAATTAGCTTTTATTTATGTAATTAGTTTTGTAAGTAGTCTATATTTAATACTCTAAATTAGTGTCTAAAGACAGGGACTAAAGTTAAGTCGCTGGATCTAAACACCACCTTAGGCCCTGTTTAGATGGGACTAAAACTTTTAAGTCCCTATCACATCGGATGTTTGAAAATTAATTATAAATATTAAACGTAGACTATTAATAAAACCCATCCATAATCTTGGACTAATTTGCGAGACGAATCTAATGAGCCTAATTAATCCATGATTAGCCTATGTGATGCTACAGTAAACATTCTCTAATTATAGATTAATTAGGCTTAAAAAATTTGTCTCGTGAATTAGCTTTTATTTATGTAATTAGTTTTGTAAGTAGTCTATATTTAATACTCTAAATTAGTGTCTAAAGACAGGGACTAAAGTTAAGTCCCTGGATCTAAACACCACCTAAAACTTTTAAGTCCCTATCACATCGGATGTTTGAAAATTAATTATAAATATTAAACGTAGACTATTAATAAAACTCATCCATAATCTTGGACTAATTTGCGAGACGAATCTAATGAGCCTAATTAATCCATGATTAGCCTATGTAATGCTACAGTAAACATTCTCTAATTATAGATTAATTAGGCTTAAAAAATTTGTCTCGTGAATTAGCTTTTATTTATGTAATTAGTTTTGTAAGTAGTCTATATTTAATACTCTAAATTAGTGTCTAAAGACAGGGACTAAAGTCGTTGGATGTAAACACCACTTAGTCGCTCGCTACCTCTCTCTCTCCACTCGTTTCTCTGTCACCTCACCACATTTACTACCGTGGACACACTATCGCTAGCTAATTTTGTCTATTGTACCGTTACTCTAACAAGAGGCATATATATCCTCTTTCCTCAAAAGAGGCCTACTCCTTATTTGAAAAGTTTCAACGCACTTTCTTTCTTTCTCTCTCTAACAAATCAACGCATAATCTTAAATTTCCCCTACCTATCCTGTGAGGCATCTAAATGGCTACTTTGCACAATTTCTATGATTTTTCCTATAGAATTAAAAAGCCATTACATTTTAATCCTGCGTTTTTAGAATCTAACGTTTCAAAGGAGTATTACATGTAACTTGAACTATAGATTTAATCAATTCCACTCATAGTTCAAGTACAATGATGTGATTGCTTGGTTTGTATCCTTATTTTATCAAACTTACACCCTCTGTTCTATTAAAACAAAATAGTAACTTCTAGCTATAAATCTGGAAATACGTTATATACAGATTCATAGTCAGAAGTTGGCTTTTTCTTGGAATGGACGGAGTATGTGTTAAGACTTGAAGGACTGCTTTGATTCAACAACATCAATAGGAATTGTAGAGGAGTTGAAAGTTTTAAATTTACATACATAGTCTGTTGTCGATTTAAATTTAAAACTTTCAAATCAATTTTCAAAAGATCTCCCTATTTTAAAACTTTCACTCCAAATTTTGAAACTAACAACTCGAAATTCAAAAAAATTCTATTCAAAAGTTTCAAATTAAATTTAAAAACTGTTAACTCAAAATTTAAAATCTTTAAATTAATTTTTAAAACTTTCAGAATTTTAAAATATTAGTTATGTCCAGATTTGAAAACTCTAGACTCAACTATTTATTTTTTATTCTATTATAAAAACTTATTGCGAATAGCACTTAAGCATTATGCACCAGGCTTAAGGCTTGTTTGGCACAACTCCGGTTCCACCTCTCAGCTGGAGCTCAGCCAAACAGTTTTAGCTCCACCTAAAATGGGAGCGGAGCTGGGTGGAGCTCTCTCACAAAATGAATTAGAGAGGTGGAGCTGGGTTTAGGCAGCTCCACGACTCCACTCCAGACCCAACTCCTAAAGCTAAATTGAAGTTGGAGCTCTACAAAACAGGCCCTTAGTCCCAAGCACATCCGCAACGCGTGCGATCTGCCGTAGTGGCGCAGACGCGCCAACTAGCAACGCCCTATGACAATCTTTATGCCATTGTATGCCGCCTCGGGAGCATGTGTAGCTAAGCGCACAAGACTTTAATCTCAATTAACTCTAAAAATATATTGATAGAAACTAATTCTATGTACCATAACAACTGGGTATAATACGATACTATCTCTATACTCTAACACTAAAATGAGTGCAGTCAAACCACAATATTTTAAATTATTAATATAATAAAGGAAAAAGTACGAATTACCCCCCGAACTATCGCAGTCGTCAGAATTACCCCTGAACCACAAAACCGGACATTTTTCACCTCCAACAATGCAAACCGGACGAATTACCCCCTCGATCCAATCCGTGGTGGTTTTGGTCTACATGGCAGTCCAGTCAGCATTTTATTTTTTTAAATGGTGGGACCCACATGTCATACCCCCTCTATCTCTCTCTTCCTAATCTCTCTCGGTCTCTCTCTCGTGGCGGAGGATGCATGGCGGCGCGCGGTGTGAGACGAGGAGGGGGAACCGGATGGCGGCGTCCAGGGTGGCCGGGGGAAGCGGTGGCGTCTAGGGCGGGTGGGGGAAGCGGCGGCGTCAGCGCGGGCTGGGGCAGCGGCCGCGGTGGCGATGGCGGTGTCCAGGGTGGGTTGGGGAAGCGGCCGCGGCCGCGGCGTCCAGGGCGGGCGGGGAAGTGGCGGCGATGACGGCGCCCTCCAGGTCGAACGGGGGCAGCGGCGGTGGCGCCCTCCTGGGCGGGCGAGGGAAGTGACGGCGGCGACGGCGCCCTCCAGGGCAGGCAGGGGAACCGGCGACGGCGGGAGCGGCAACGGGCGCGGCGAGGAGCGGGCGCTCGTGCGCGGGCGGGCCGCCTCGCCACCGCCGCCTGCTCGCCTCCTCCTCCGCCGCCGTCGCGGCCTCGCCTCGCCTCCGCCGCGCTCGCCTCCTCCGCCACACCTCGCAGTCGCTCACCTCCTCTGCCGCCGCCGCCTCCTCCTCCGCCTCCTCTGCCGCCGCCGCCTCCTCCGCTGCTCACCTCCTCCGCCGCTGCTCGCCGCCTCATCCCTCGCCGCCGCCGCCGCTCGTCTCCTCCGCTGCCGCTCGCCGCCTCATTCCTCGTCGCCGCTGCCGCTCGCCGCCTCATCCCCCGCCGCCGCTGCCGCTCGCCGCCCCCCGCCTACCGCTGTGATTCGTGAGAGAGTGAGAGAAGAGAAGAGAGAGGAAAAGTGTATGACAGGTGGGGCCCGCCTATTTTCTAATAAATAAATTGCTGACTGGACTGCCACGCGTACGCCACGTGGACCAAAACCACTGCGGATTGGGTCGAAGGGGGTAATTCGTCCGGTTTGCATAGTTGGAGATGAAGAATGTCCGGTTTTGTGATTCAGGAGGGTAATTCGAACGACCGTGATAGTTCATGGGGTAATTCGTACTTTTTCCTATAATAAAAATCAGTAGTTAATATATGAAAATTATATTGATATATTTGTCAAAAAAAACAATTTCATATGTTATATTTTAATAAGTTTTAAATTTTGTAAACAGAGAGAGGTACTCTGGTTAACAGTAATGTAATATCATTCCTGGAAATTAAATACAGTACTCCATATTAACCCAACACACACGCTGATCGGTAGCACAGCTCACATAGTTAACAGCTAGTATCACAAATAGAGGCCAGAGTGCCAGACATTACTGACGACAGAGAGGTAGTATTGATCATGATGATGCGCCGAAGAGGGCGGCGACCGGCGCCGCGCATGCCCTCGCGATGGACGGCGCGCGGAAGACGGCGGCGGCCACCACGCGTCCGGCGGACCGCAGTATCTGGAAGTAGAGCTCCGGGAGTGATTCGAATGCTGCTCGCGAAATCATCAGGCCGGCGGCGCCCGGGGCCCTCATCATGGTGAGCGGGACGCAGCACTGCCCGAAGGGGACGAACAGGTAGTGCGCGCCGCTTGACACGGCGGAGACAAGCGCCTGCCCGATCTGGACGGCGGCGTGGAGCAAGAACGGCCAGGAGAGCCAGACGAGCGCCGCGACGCACAGCACGGCGGCGATCACCAGCACGTACGGGAGCGCCGCGCCGGCCGCGGCGCGGAGCCAGCGCCAGAACGACTCGAGGCGCGGCGCGAGCTCGTGGGCGGCGCCGGCGAGCGTGGCGAGGAGGCTGGCGTAGAGGCGCTTGACGAGGGGCCACAGGCCGTCGAGCCTGAAGCTGATGTCGGCGGCGGCGTCGGCGGCCGCGGTCTTGAGCCACTTCCAGAACGCCTCGAATGGTTGGACGAGCTCATGAGCTGCGCCAGCGAGCGTGGCGAGGACGCTGGCGAAGAAGGACCGGGTGTTCTGCCAAAAGCCGTCGAAGCCGAAGCTGATGCCAGTGGCGGCGTCGGCGGCCGCGGTCTTGAGCCACTTCCAGAACGCCTCGAGTGGTTGGACGAGCTCGTGAGCTGCGCCGGCGAGCATGGCCACGACGCTGGCGAAGAAGGACCGGATGTACTGCCAAAAGCCGTCGAAACCGAAGCTGATGCCGGCGCCTGCGTCGGCGACGGCTGTCTGGATCCACTTCCAAAACGCCTGAAACGGGTGGACGAGGTCGTGAGCAGCGCCGGCGAGCGATGCGATGACGCTGGCGAAGAGGCCTTGTATGCTCTGCCACAATCCTTGGAAGCCAGAGCCGATGCCGCTGGCCGCCGTCTGCAGCCACCGCCATAACGCCTCGGACGGCAGGACGAGCCCGTGGGCCACGCTGACGAGCGCCGCGACGGCGTCGGCGAAGAAGCCCTGTATGCCATGCCACATGCCGTCGAAGCCATGGCTGATGCCGGCGGCGGCCGCCTGGATCCACCGCCAGAACGCCTCGAACGGCAGCACAAACAGGTGCGCGGCGCTCCCGAGCCCAGCCACGATGCTGGCGAAGAACCCTTGTATTCCCTGCCACATGCCCTCGAATCCATGGCCGATGCCGGCGACGGCCGCCTGGAGCCCGCGCCACAGCATCTCGAACGGCAGGACGAGCAGGTGCGCCAAGCTCCCGAGCCCAGCCACGATGCCGGCGAAGAACACCTGGACGGCGTGCCCCAGGGACTCGAATCCATGGCCGATGCCGGCGACGGCCGCCTGGACCCCGCGCCACAGCATCTCGAACGGCATCACAAGCAGGTGCACCAAGCTCCCGAGCCCCGCGACGACGCCGGCGAGGAGCCACTGGATGGCATGCCCCAGGGCCTCGAAGACGTGGGCGATGGCCCCGGCGAGCGCCTGGAACGGGAGGAGAAGCAGGTGGATGAGGCCGCCGAAGAGGCCAGCGATGAGCTGCCACAGGCCGTCGAGGCCGAAGCTCATGCCGACGGCGGCGTCGCCGGCGAGGGTGCGGGCTCGGCCGACGGCGCCATGAAGGAGCTTCCTTGCTGCTGAGTCGGCGAGGACCACCATGGCTAGCTAGCTGCAATGTAGCAGGTAGCAGTGTGGAGTGACAACTGACTACTGTGACTATGGGTGAAGAAGGGGAGAAGAAGAGAGGACTCGGCCACTAGGGCAACTCGCCGGCTAGCTACTCCATTCCCACAGTTCCGCTACTACTAGACTCCTTTTGGGGCGAGATTGGTGCATGTCACGCCACCGTGAGGGGAAGCTTTTGCTTCAAAGGTTCCGGGCGGAACTTCCTGCGGACAGTACATGTACCGAGGGTTAATTTACTCTTGTTAATATATTATAGGGATAATTGTATCATACACTCACTTTTAACCACAACTGCTATTTTACTCTTACTTTTAGGGTTTGTTTCTTCCCCATTTTTTGAAAATGAACCAGATGTTTGTCCTCACTGCTCCCCTCCCTCTTTTAGAGCAAGTTTAACAGTATAGCCAACTATTGGCTCCAAATCACCTATAGTCAATTTAATAGCCAATTCATACAATAATTATCTATAAACATATATTACATAATTAATGTCTGGTCCCACCCGTCATACATACATACATTTTGGAGTCTGTGCTGCAGCTGGCTACAAATCTAGAGCCCGCTACTCTTATCTCTCATATTTTATCTTCTTAAAATATATTTATAGCTGGCTTATAGTATGCTATTATACCCTGCTCTTAGAGGGACGAAAAGACTCTTTCCATTCTTCAAGCTATTAACCGCCCTTCCACTCTTCCACTAATACAGTCAAGCACAAAGTTCGAAGAGGAAAGAAAGAATGATGGAATGAAAGATCAGTTGGTTGGAAAGAAAAAGGCTCTCCTCAAAACTATTCCCAAGTTTTGAATTCCATTTCTATCGATAAGTTCTAAGCATATGACAGATTTCGACGGTAGGTTTAACCGTGTTATTTTAGGACGAAACGACATTTTTACCCTTGGCGAAAGCACCTACACCTCCATTCCGAATGCTTGCCACTGAGCCGCCAGCACCGTGGCGCGGGAAGCCCATGGCTGCTGCTCGCCATGCTGGGAGCCCCATGGCTGCCAGCTGCCTTGGCGCACTTGGCCGCCACTCACCGTGGCATGGCGTGGCACACCCCCCCGGCCGTCGCCTAGTTCAGGGCGCCTGGTTGTGCCTCGTCGTGCCAAGGTGCAACATGCACCGCAACCGCCGCCAACCTCCACGCGCCTAGTCGTTGCTTGCCACGCGGAAGCCCTGCGGCTACCACCTCAATGCACCCCCGCTGGATACCAGCCTCGATGCGCCTCCCGGAGGCCCACCGCGCTTGCCAACACCATGCATTCGTCTAAACTACCGCCTTCGTTGCGTGCTCACCAGAGAACCACCGCCACCTCTAGGGTTTTTGGGTGGTGACGGGCCAGGAACGGGAGTATGGGAATTCAACATTGTAGAAAAAAAATTTATTTCCGTTTGTATTTATGTTACTAAAAACCATGGGACCCACCCAAGAGGCGTCAAAAGTGAGCGCAAATGGCTGGTTTGTTTTCAAAAAAATAGTGCAAAAATGTAAACTCTAAAAAGTAGAGAGGCAAAACAACAGTTGGGTTGAAAGGGTGGGCATGGATGCCTTATCGTGTAAGTCCTTAAATTTTAAATTAAAAGCCTCCTTTTATTTGTAGGAAAAATAAAGAAAACTTAGATGATTTTATTTTGTGGGAAAAATCCTAGCCCTTTGGAATAAAGAATTGTATCATATATACTCTTATGACAAGTTAGGAAGAGCTCTAACCTCTGGGTTTTGACTCAGTCTGTTTTGTCTGATCCTTAGTTTTTCATGTGAACTATTCAAATGTCGTTCTTTTATTTTTCTTTCTTGTGTTTCTTATTTGCAATTATATGTTATGCACTTGCCTTTCTCTACTATCTCCATTGAGCGCAACATGTCCTTAATTCCTTTATCCTCTCCTCCCACTTAGCGCATCCGTACTCTCCACGTGAGTAACCAACAGATCCAATGTTTCATTCTCAATCACCCTTCTAGGCTAATCAAAATCCTTGTGTCGGGTGGAACGGCAGTGACCCAAGCGGCGATGGCACCGGGCAGAGGAAGCCAAGGCGTCGAGTAGAGACAGTGTTGGGCGGAGGGGCGGCGACCCAAGCGACAATGACACCGGGCGAAGCGGCGGTTAGATCCACTAGCGCACCACCACCTTTCCTCTCCTTCCCCGAAGCAGCGGCGAGGTCGGCGACGCGGGAGTAGGAGATGACAAGGCGGTTTGAGGAGGAACGGCATCTGCCTGAGGCAAAGAAGGTGTGAGCCAGTGAGGCAGAGTGGTGTCGGCAATGGAGGGCGACGAGCTCTACGCGGCCTGCTTGCTCCGGCGGCTCTCCCATGCATTTCCCCCCTCGCCACCTTATTCATGTGAGTAACTGGCATCTTTGTTGAAAGAGGAAAACCTATGTCAAGGGATGAGGGCCTATACCCTCTCTTCTCCACGGCATCACGCAGCCTAGGTGGAGGCAAGAAGTAACTCACCAGCATGGTGCACTGCGAAGGGCCTAACACCATGTCTCGACGTGCGTCACCCATGCCCTACCCGAGCACGCTGCTCGCAGGGCGTGCCGCGTCATTCGGTGCGCGAAGTGCTAGCGCCCTCGACGTCACCGCACACGATCGCGCAGCCGATGTCCACACCCGCGCACGCGACAATAGGCCGGAGAAAATATGGCTCTAGTAGACACTTCATCGCCCTCTCTTTTAGCAACAGTCTAGCTTCATCTCCACTCTAAACCTTGTATGTCTAGTATCTTCTTATGTTATCTACCGTTGCCCCTCCGGCCCTCCTGCCACCATCAGGATTTCCATCGCAGAGCAGAAGTGGAAATGGAAGTGATGGGTGTACCTGATCTGATGGTGGCTGCTCTAGACAAAATGAGACAAAAGGAAATTATACTAAGGCAAAATTTACTTTAGAACACTAACTTTCTAGGACATTCTACTTTTACGGCTTTATCATATGGTACTCTAGTGTTGTGGCACTTTACTATAAGACACCTAGTTCATTATTTTAATATAACATCTTCAAATAGAGAGATAAAACTTTATAAAAGAAGGGCGCGCGCGTGGGCCGCGTGGGCTGGAAATGCGCGTTGGCGGCGCGCACGCTAACTATCTTTTCCGGGCCGGTTTCCCTGATTTTTTAGCGATTTTGTTCCTATAAGTCGGTTATAGAGATAAGGACGTATTGTGCCTATATGTACTCGTGTCCATGATAAATCCAAGTCATCGCGTTGACTCTCATACGCCCTCCCGACGCTGCTTTCACCGTACTCTCTTTTGCACCATTACTCTCCGTCGTTGATCTCTCCTGCTCCCAGCGCTACAGCATCGGCCTCTCCACGCTCGTCGTAAGCATAGATGGAATATGGTCTCGGAGAGAAGATGATAGCAAACTTGACGGCAATAGCATGATTTGAATTTTAGAAAAAATCAGTGACATATAGTAGGTTTTCAAGAATAGTAGTGATATTTTTCCAAATTGGTAAATTTGTAATGGCAAAGGGTCCATTTATAACACATAAAAAGAACATGTGAATTTTAATAGGAGTGACAGTAATCATATGCCTGGCGGTTGTTGGAGGTCACCTTTCATTGACTGGTAATCGCACTAATGATTCCTTTGCTTTGGCAAAACCAGAAAATACCCAAAAAGGAGGGTGCTAAGATCGAAAGCCACATCATCCCTATAGTAAGAGCATCAAACTTACTTTAATATATTATAAAGTTTATATACGGCGGTGACGCAACAAATATGATGCAATGTGTATGATCTTATAGATACGTCATGGGTGGGATTAGGGATGAAAACGGTCGGAAACGGTCGGAAAAACCCTCTACCATTTCCATTTTCATTTTATTTTCTCGAAAATGGAATCGGAACGTATACTCGGAAACGGTAAGGATATCGGTTATATCGGTATCTCGGAAACGGAACCGTCGGAACGGGAATATACCGATATCGGACGGAAGTCGAAAATTCATGTCGGAAACAGCGAACTGTGGTATCATCCCGCATTTAACTATGTATGAAGATAACCTTATAATTTCACCCTTGCATCATTATGCTGCCACACAACACCTTTATATGATGATTAATAAGTTGACAATAAGATTGACAAATAATATAAATAAAGTTCAATGATACTTCAACATCAATGTGGCTAAAGCATACAATGTGGCTTACATGATAGGATTACAGCATAACTAATATTGTCCGACTTTTTTTAGGATATAGATTTGAAGTCTTCGAGAACACCAAGCTCACAAGCTGGCATGGCTTCAGCTGATCAGCTCCTTGTCAAATATCATTCATTATTTCATCATCAATTGACATAGCTATATCGTCGTCCTACAGTGGCACATTGCATAAGAACTTTTATGTTGACACTGTATAACTACCGTTGTAATTAAGTTTCATGCTAAACTAGACTTTTTGGTATTTCCAGGTCGATCACAGAGAGGAGTCAAGATGGTGGGGCCCGCCGGTGGATCCCACAGCCTTTCTTTTCCTCTCTTTCTTTTATTTTCTCTCTCTCTTATCCTTCCCTTCTCTCGGTTCCTTTTCCTGCTCTCTCGATTTCTTCTCTGTTTTCTCTCTTGTTCTCTTCTCTGCCTTTGGCTCCTTCACGCGCGCCCGAGAGGAGAGAGGCGCCGGAGATGGCGGCCTGGCGCAGGGCGGCGGTGGGGGGAAGGAGAGAGGAGAAAGGGGCGGCATCGGTGGGGAGGAGGAGGCTGGGGCGGTGCGGCGGCGCTCGGCGCTTGGCTTGGTGGCACGGAAGCCGGCGGTGGAGCATGGGGGAGGGAAAGGTGGCCGGCTGCGACGGAGGCCGTCGGGGCGAAGGAAGTTGCGGCCGGCGTCGGCGACCTGGTGGCGGCGCCCAACACGGCGCGGCGGTGCCCCAGCGCCGATGAAGACGACGATGCGGTCAGGCCTAGTTGGCTTCTTTATTCGGAATGGGCTGCTCCTTAATGCCTAATGGGCTCCTCCTCCTGCTAGCCAGGCCCAGCCGACTTCCTTCTTCGGAATTTTGTCGGAAATTTGACGGAAATTACCGATAAAAAACGGTTACCGACAAAACGGTCGGAAAAAACCCCATATTATTTCCGCTACCATTTCCGAAAAAGATTACCGTTTCCATTTCCGATACCGACAATTACCGATACCGATTGAAACGGTCGGTGCAAACCGGAAACGGTAGCCGG